CACACACACACACACACAGTTTGTGTATGTCTTTCTCTGCCTTCTCTGTGTTTTTCTTCCTTTGATTTTTTTCTTAGTACTTTTTGCTGTCTAAGCGAGCACCTTTAAGCAGTGCCAAATAGTTGTTTATTTCCTTGTTTGGAGTGTATGCAGCACTCTTAGGGGGGGCGCTCAGTTTGGGATGTCTGTCTTCCCTATGGGTGATGATGGACGTTTGTCAGAGTGACTCCCTGGCTCAGTGGGTGGTGGGAACCAACAGTCTCCGGGCTTCACCCGTGATATGAGTAGGTGATGTGCCGCTTTGCTCCGTGTTGAATGCGTAGACTGCCTTGTCTGCGCTCTTTCGTTGTCTTGCTGCCCGTCCCGCTTGCTTTGCATGTCGTTCTTCGCAAGCTGCTGTGCTCACTGTGTAGTGTGGCCGCAGTGTTGGTGTTGCCTTCTGCCTTGCTGCTCTGCTGACTTGCCACCCATCCACCTGCCGTGCCTTCTGCGTCCTTTGCTTGTGTGCTATGTAGTTTGGCTGTCTTGTTCATGTTGCCTTTGTGCTTCACGGCATGGTTGCCGTGCTGCTCGTCTGCTTGCCCTGCCATTTGTTTTAGGTAACAACTGCTGTGTTAAAAACTGAGTTTCGATTTTCAATGAAAACACGTTTTTGCAGTCTACTCGCAGGCCAAGTTTAAAATGCAGTCTAGTTGCATAGGTTCTGGAAAAATGCCACATCCACGATGGGCGAGAAATTTCGGCTGTGGCCCAGGCGCGACGGGCCAGGGAAGGCCCGAATCTGACCCAAATCATGGCCAGATTTCAGCCGGTACCCCTGACCCTCTTCATTTGCTGCGAAAAATTTCAGCCGTTGATCCATCAGATTGAATGGGTCTATTTTTTTGCGCGGCAGGTGCAGAGGGTCAGGGCCTTGTCTGCCCTGGCCCTCCTTACTTGCCACACGAAAACTTTCAAGTGTTTGATCTGATAGACCGAGGAGCTGGAATTGTTCCCGCAGCAAGCAAAGGGCCCGGGCCTACAAAACCCTGGATAATGTGGCCACTTACACAGCTCTGCCAAAACCTATGCGTCCAGGCTGAGTGGGGCAATAGACTGCAAATTTGCAAAAACCTTTTTTTTTCTTTCTTCTTCTTTTTTTTGGGAATTAAACCGCCAGTACACGGCCCCAGCCTTGCTGAAAATACAACTTGCCGCCTACGGAAATTTCGGAGGGCCGGCCTACCGGACCGCAATGGTTGGTTGCAGCAGCTAAAAAAGAAAGAAAGTGCACCACTGGCAGTTCGGAAAAGCTTGGCGCGGTGTAAGGCGCCTCCAGGCCCGGGTGTACTGGTGGTTTATGGCCTGGGCAGGTCTACTAGGGGGGGTGATAAGAGCAACCTCTCCCATTCCTGGGCACTCCGTCCATTGGTGGGGGAGCTTCACCTGCTGGAAATCGGGTCCAGCATCCCTGAGAACATAAACTGAGTTTGACTGGGTTCGAGTGAACGATTGAAAATGCTTCCGGCAGCTCTCCGCCCTTCCGCTGGGGCCCCATGTGTTCTGCATTGCATCTTTCTGTGAGTAACCCCTTCGTCTTGGACCCTGACTCCTGACCCCTGATTTCTCATCCCGTGTCCTACCCTTCCTTGCTGAGTGCTAGTGTTCTGCATTCTAGACTGAGGCTGACTGTGGTTGCTGCTGGTTGTGCCCTTTACTGCGGGTTAGCCCTTAAACCTTGAACCCTGAGCCCTGACCCCTGCACCCTCATACCTGTAACCCAGCACTGCAAAAACCTGTTCGGACTGAAAACCGAAACTAAAAAGTATGATGCGTCTGTACTTATTTATTTCTGTTTTACCAGAATTGTGCTGTCCATCCCCGAAATTGTGGTCGTGACAGGGTTGATGGATCCTATCTCCATGTGATCTCTGACATTGATTTTCATTTTTGAAGGTTTATGTTTGTCGGCATACGCTCTCATCAGAGGTTGCCAATTGTTCGTCTTGTACTGGAAGGATACTTGGCCCGTCTTTCTCTGTGCTGAATGTGAGTTTTTGAATAGCTGCAAGTCTTGTGCAAGACCATCTTGAGGACACTTAGGCAGGATTTGCTCCGGGGTGAGATTCCCACATGCTGCTGTTCCCGAGCACGTGTTTTTTTTTTTTTTTTTTTTGGGGGGGGGGGGGGGGGGGGGGGGGGGGGGGGGGGGGGGAAATTGCTCCAATCATTTCGTGTGGGGAGCAGCATGTGCTGGAAACCGGGTCTGGAGCACAGGGTTTGAGTGGAACAAGGGTGTTTTAACTTTTAAGCAGAATGTGGTGCTCCTAGTGTTGCAGAAGGGTCTCCTGGCGTCAGGTCTCATCTATGGATTGCTCCCAGAAGGGCTCAAAGAGCTCCCGCTGTTGCTGAGATTGCGCTAGGCCAATCTTTTCGGACTCTTTTGGGGGTTGTCAGACTGTTATAGTTGGTGGACCTTCCAGATTCATGCACACCTACCATTTGTGCATGCTCTTTTTGTGTCGGTCAGTGGCAGAGACAGAGGCACTTTTTTTCCCTTTCTTAAAGTTTTTTTACATTTGCCGGTGAGTAATATTGGGCGGTGTCCCTCATTACATAAAAAAAATAAAAATGTAATGTGTTTGGATAATGATCCAAGGAAGTGTGGAAGCTGTTCCTGAAACATCCGCAAGTACAGCACCAGCCGCTCCACTGTTGTGTCCTGAAGACTCCGCAGAAAGATCCCGCAACCGCCTCTTCAGTCTGTACGCTGACCACCATGCTGGAAGTACTATCCATGGCAATGCTCCTTCTTGCTGACGTTCCACCTAGTCCCTCACAAACAACTGTAGCTCAAACAGGGCATTCGCTTGTGGGGGGAACATGTCCAAAAGGCTGAAGGTCGCCGCAGTGGAAGAGATGCATCTATCCTTGTGCAGTAAAGCTCACGGTGTAGTCTCTCTTGAGTGGTGATTGGTCTGACTTTTCCCCTCCTTTCCATGGCACAGCTCCAATCCACCCTCCCTGTCCCCCTCCTAGCCATTCCTCAAATCTTTGGATTTCTTTCAGTACGTGTGGAATCTATTAAAGATCTAGTTTTTCTGTCATTGCAGCCCACCAGGCCTGCAGTTCTGTTTTGTATATGTTGTTTGATTACTTCTGTGAGTTCTTCCTCTTCCATCCTCACCCCCTTCAGTAAGTATGTACATCTCTTTGTCCACAGCACCCATAGTGCCATAGTATTCTTCTCCTTAACCCGAACATGTTGGCAGCAAAAAATGCTGTCTTGTGGGGGATGCCAGGCCCTTCATAGAAGCGGCCCCCCATCCCAGGGCCAGTCGATGTTTGTCCCCAGCGGCCTCCAGATTTTGTCCCACCATATCCACGTGAGCACCACCCTGGGGCATTGCAAGAACTTCAAGATGTGTTCAATTGTTTCTCTAATTCATCGGTAGGGAAACGCTGTTTGACAGGATTTGCACCATGGGAGGGTGAGCCCCTTCTGTTCCTAGTGTCTGTGGTCTATCAGCCAGTTATTGGTGGGCAGGCAGCTGTGTTTGATTTGCCACTGCAGTGATGCGATGGTGACAAGCTTGGTTTTCTGCGCTGCAAACCACCGGATTAGGTGGAGGGCCTCTCAGCCTACGCTCAGGTGGCATATCCACCAATCTTAGACTATTACCTTCCCTTCGAGGTCTACCTTGGGGCCTTGGGCTGCATCATTCCTTATGCGGTCTTGATCTCTAGGGTAATTAAGGTCCTTGTTTTGCATTGCCCTCGGTGACTCTGGTTTGTCCACTGCAAGATGAAACAGTTTGTCACAGCTCGGAGTCGCTGTTTCTTTGTCCGTTTGTCCCTTTTACTATAGTTTATTGTCCCAAAGTCCTGCTCGCTGAACGATGAGCAAAAAGCGGAAAAGGATGAGAAACAGGGGGTTGAGACCCGAAAACATCTCCAGAGTGCCACCAAATTCCCAGAAATCAGGAAATGGCTGTCAAGAGGCCTCATGGCCACACTGCACTCTGGATCGGCGCACTCTCAAATTTGGGAGTTGAGGCCCACGTGTCTTTTTTGTGTAGTGGGACGAAAACCGCCAATTTTATGATGAGAGACCCTATGTCAGCTGCGACATGCTTCCAAATTTCGAAGCAAAGTC